TAAACCCTAAACCCTAAACCCTAAACCCTCAGAGTCGACTTGAGAACATGACAACCATCCCAGCAAGTGCCTTACTGGGACTCCAACTGGCACTCCGATGGTGCCAGCATGTGCGGAAGGTTTAGGGTTTAGGGTTTAGGGCTTAGGGTTTAGGGTTTAGCGCGCCCGGACACGAACTTCCACACCCACGTGAATCCCTGAACATACTGAAAGGCATGTTTCTGGACCGCCAAAGGGACCCTAGTTTAGGGAACTTCCCATAAACCCTAAACCCTAAACCCTAAACCCTAAACCCTAAACCCTAAACCCTAAACCCTAAACCCTAAACCCTAAACCCTAAACCCTAAACCCTAAACCCTAAACCCCAATAACCATCTGCAGTACAAGGTAACGCTGACACCAAGGACTAGAACCCTTAGCCAGAAACCCTTAGCAGGTCCAGGGCGAAGGATGTAGGGCCCTAAACCCAACCCTGAACCTAAACGAGTTAAGCCCTAAGCCCTAAACCCTAAACCCTAAACCCTAAACCCTAAACCCCAAACCCCAAACCCCAAACCCGAAACCCTAAACCCTAAACCCTAAACCCTAAACCTAACCCTAAACCCTAAACGAACCGTACTTGTGAGCACCCCCGCTTGCAGAACGTGCGGAAGCTGCTGAGCTCTACCTCTGCAGGCAGGCGTTCGCAAAGTCGTGTTCGATTTGCCAGTTGCCCAGACACAATACCCCCTGATAGGGTTTGGGGTTTAGGGTTTAGGGTTTAGGGTTTAGGGTTTAGGGTTTAGGGTTTAGGGTTTAGGGTTTAGGGTTTAGGGTTTAGGGTTTGGGGTTTAGGATCCCAAGCAATCATCACGGCTTCTTGCTTGCCAGCATAATGCGACGGATGAGGAGAAGCAGCAGGACAATAGGATAATCCCGACACCCTAAGCCTTAAACCCTAAACCCTCAAGACAGTATGTAACCAACAGAAGTTGTATGTTGTTCATGTAGCACTAAGATCCTGCGATTTCGATAGGCTCGCATAAGACTTTCCAGGCCAAACGACTATGAAACGGCCAATGTACGTCAGTTTTTGGGGATTAGGATTTTAGGGTTGGCCTTAAGGGTTCAGGGTTTAAGGGTTTAAGCTTTATGGGTTCAAGGCGGTTTAAGGGTTTAGGCTTTAAGGGTTCAGGGTTCAAGGGTTAAGGGTTCAAGGGTTCCAGGATTTAGGGGTTTAGGCTTCAAGGATTCGGGCTTGAGGGTTAAGGGTTCAAGGCTTTAAGGGTTGAGGGTTTAAGGGTTTAAGGGTTAAGGGTTTAAGGGTTTCGGGTTTTGGCCAGCATGCCCTTCTGAATACGTCCAGTCAAGCTGGCACCCCGCTAATGCTGTCCTAGAGGCCCACACCGCCCCACCCCCACTTCGAGTTTCGGGTTTAGGTTTCTAAACGTTTCGGTCCAGTTTGTTGGGAACCAAACCCTGTATGCAGTTTCTACAACCCCTACAACCCTAAACCCTAAAACCCTACAATCCCAAGATCCCTAAATCCTAAACCCTAAACCCTACAGCCCTAGACCCTAAAATCCTACAATCCCAAAAACCCTCAACCCCAAACCCTACAACCCTACAGCCCTACAATGTGGTGGCTCTTCGTAGGGAATCATGGAGGTTTAGGGTTTAGGGTTTAGGGTTTGGGTCTAGGGTTTAGGGTTTAGGGTTTAGGGTTTAGTAGGGAATCATGGAGGTGCAGATGTGGAGCCGCAGCGGGGGCTGCTCACGACACAGGTGCCGGACAGGGTTCGGGGGGCTCTGGGGGCTCAGGGGTTAGGGTTTAGGGTTTAGGGTTTAGGGTTTAGGGTTTGGGGTTCAGCATTTCAATTCCAAGCATTCACTAGTCAAGAAATTACTCCAGAAAAATACCCACCCGCCCAAACAATCCCACAACATTAAGAAAATATTTCACTTATGGCACGACCTTTCCCAGTAAAAAGATGACCCAATAAAAAACATGACCTTGCCCAGCAAAAAAATGACCTAGCCCAGAAAAAATGACCTTGCCCAGCAAAAAATGACCTTGCCCAGTAAAAAATGACCTTGCTCAGTAAAAAGTGACCTTGCCCAGTAAAAAAAGGACCTTACCCAGTAAAAAAATGAGGGCTGGGTTTTTTTTCTTATGCTATGCGCTTTTTTTCTTATTCTCTGTGTGTCCCGGAAGCCGTCCCGATCCCTTATGCTGCACCGTTTCTTTTTTTATGCTCCGGAGTCCCTTGGTTATGCTACCACTTCTCTTGTTATCCTCACCGGTTTTTTCTTTATGCTGACCTGTCCTTTTTTTATGCTGATCCGTCCTCCTGTTATGCCCACCCATCCCCCCCCCCCCCCCCTGTTCCCCCCCCCCCCCCCCCACCCCCCGTTCCACCGGCTGCAGTCCCCCCCCCACCCCCCCCCCGCCCCCCCCCACAGTCCCCCCCCAGCCCCCCACACCCCCACCATCCCCGCAGGCATTCTTTGTGTGACCTGTTTTTTTTTTTTGTGCTGATCCCCCAATCCCCCACCTCAACCCAAAGTCCCCCCCCCTCCCCTTCCCCCCCCCAACCCCCCCCATCCCTCCCCACCCCCTCCACGTTTACAACCGCTTCCCATCGAGGCATCCCTGCCCCCTCCGAGCTTTATACAGTTACACAGTTATGTTAGGCGACGGCATCGTCAAAGCGCAAGCAACCCGAATCTGCAAACTTGATAAAGCTTTCAACTTTCGAGCTGAACCCTGAACTCATAAACTTGATCCCATCAGGTCAGCGGGCCAGTGCTCTGTGGTGATGTCGTTAGAGGGTTCAGGGTTAGGGGCCAGGGTAAAGTAGGTTGAGAGATGAATAGAAATTGTGGTTTCTGTCAAGGTTACATGAAAGTCTAAGCAACAGAAACGAAGAGGTATATAAACTCAGCACGATAGCACTCGAAAGAAATTTGGGAAATCGCAGCGTAGATGCACGAAAGCGGCCGGAAGTTTCGGCTCACGCATAAAAGATGACGCGTAGTAAATGCGCGTGGTGCGGTAAATGGGGGAAAGATCGATGCACCTGCAACCGCACACCACTAGTAGATTTTGCACAGAGCGAGTGTCCCAAGTCTGGTGCAGTGAAGCCGAAGAAGGCTACGAAGGCAACCGCGCAGTTCGGCAAACCGCAACAAGCTGGGAGATCGTCACTGCAGCCTCTCGCGCAGCCGGGCAAGCCTCGCAAGGCTGCACCTGCACCCCCGGCAGCGCCAAGTGCTGGCCGCGGCATTCCGGCCGTGAAAGTAGTGGCATCGACCTTGCAGTCCTCCACGGCGGCGCCAGGCAAGCACAGCGAAGCTGAGACCCTTCGCCTTAGAGTGAAACTGGAAGAAACAAAGCTGGCGCGCGTCGAGGCGGAGAAGAGTCTGCAGGAACTCAAGAAAAGGAAGGCCGAGCAGGAACAGGCCGTGCTTGCGCCACAGCCTCCTCTTCGTGAGCAGGAGTCAGGCCGGCGGTCGTGGCATCAAAAGAGCTCCTCGCAGCAGAACTGGTGGCGCAACTGGCACGGCCCGCGCCGCGGCACAGAGTACTGGCACTCGATGAGAAATGACGGCTTAAACTAGTAGTAGTGTTTCCCCTCTTTGTACAGCAAGTGTGAGCCAAGGGCGCCATTGACAGAGTTTAAGGTTTATGGTTTAGGGTTGCGCTCTTAGGTTTGAGGGTTTAGGGTTTAAGTTTAGGGTTTAGGGTTTAGGGTTTAGGGTTTAGGGCTTAGGTTTAGGGCTTAGTCGCTGTTAGCCGAAGCCCTCAGAAGGCTGCTGCACAAGGGTGTGCTTAGTCGCTGTTAGCCGAAGCCCTCAGAAGGCTGCTGCACAAGGGTGTAGGGTTGCAGAGGGAGGCACTGGTGAGAGAGTTTAACGTCTATGCTTTAGGGCTTCGCGTTTAGGTTTGAGGGTTTAGGATTACGGTTCAGGGTCTAGGCTGTCGCTGCACATGGGGATGGAGGTGCGCTGGAGGGACGGGACAGGGGCACAGCTGAAGGGGAGGAAAGGTGGGACACAAAAAACGGGGATAAAGCGAACAAGGGAGAAGGAGGGGGGACAGTGGACGGGGGACAGGGCGACAGGCGACACAGGGACGACGCAGGGGATGGACGGCGCAGGGGACGCAGGGGACGATGCAGCGGGGGGACGACGCAGGGGTGGCACGACGCTTGGGACGACGTGGGGGACAACACAGGGGGCAGCAGAGAGGGGATGGACGATACAGGGAACAACGCAGAGGATAACACAGGAAACAACGCAGGGGACAACGCGCGCGGACAACACGGGGGACAACACAAGGGACAAACAGGTAGGGGACAACACAAGGGACAGCGCAGCGGACAACACAGGGGACAAGACAGGGGACAACACAGGGGACAACACAGGGGACAACACAGGGGACACAAGGGAGGACGCAGGAAACAACGGGGTCAACGCAGGGGACAACACCGAACAACGCCGGGCACCACACAGGGGACAGGACAGGGGACGACGTATGGGACGAGACAGTGGACGACACAGGACACAACGCAGGACAAAACAACACGGGGACGACGCGGGGGACAACGCTGGGGACAACACAGGGGGACAAGACCAGGGAGGGGGACGACGCAGGAAGCGACGCAGGGGACAACGCATGGGGACAAAGCGAGGGACAACACAAGGGACAACACGGGGACAACACAGGGGACAACACAGCACAGGCAACAAGACAGGGGACACCACAGGGGACAACGCAGGGGACAACACAGGGGACAACGCAGGGGACAACACAGGGGACACAAGGGAGGACGCAGAGGAGAACACGGGAAAGAACGCAGGGGACAACGCACCGGGGACAGCGCGAGGGACAACACAGGGGACAACACGGGGACAACACAGAGGGGACAACTCGGGGGACAACGCAGGGCACGACACAGGGGACAGCGCAGGGGACGACATAGGGGACGACACAGCGGACGACACATGACACAGCGCAGGACAGAACGGGGACAAGCGAATCAGGGACGACGCAGGAGACGACGCTGGGGACAACGCAGGGGGACAACACTGAGTTCAACGCTGGGGATGACGCAGGGGGCTACACAGGGGACAACGCGAGGGACAACACAGGGGACAACGCGGGGACAACACAGGGGACAACTCGGGGGACAACGCAGGAAGCAACGCAGGGGAGAACGCAGGGGGACAAGGCGAGGGACAACACAAGGGACAACACGGGACAACACAGGGGACAACACAGCGCAGGCAACAGGAAAGGGGACAAGACAGGGGACAACGCAGGGACAGCACCACGGGGACAACGCAGGGGACAACACAGGAAAGCGGAGAACGCAGGGGACACCGCGGGGACAACGCAGGGGACAAGACAGGGGACACAAAAGGGAGGATGCAGAGGAGAACACGGGAAACAACGCAGGGGACAACGCACGGGGACAGCGCGAGGGACAACACAGGGGACAACGCGGGGACAACGCAGGGGACAACTCGGGGACAACGGACAACGCAGGAAGCAACGCAGGGGAGAACGCAGGGGGACAAGGCGAGGGACAACACAAGGGACAACACGGGACAACACAGGAGACAACACAGCGCAGGCAACAGGACAGGGGACAAGACAGGGGACAACGCAGGGACAGCGCCACGGGGACAACGCAGGGGACAACACAGGAAAGCGGAGAACGCAGGGGACACCGCGGGGACAACGCAGGGGACAAGACAGGGGACACAAAAGGGAGGATGCAGAGGAGAACACGGGAAACAACGCAGGGGACAACGCACGGGGACAGCACGAGGGACAACGCAGGGGACAACGCGGGGACAACACAGGGGACAACTCGGGGACAACGCAGGGCACGACGCAGGGGACAGCGCAGGGGACGACCGACATAGGGGACGACGCAGTGGCCGACACATGACACAACGCAGGACAAAACGGGGACAAGCAAATCAGGGACGACGCAGCAGACGACGCTGGGGACAACACAGGGGGACAACACTGAGTTCAACACTGGGGATGACGCAGGGGACTACACAGGAAGAACCGCAGGGGACAAGACAGGGGACACTACAGATGACAACGCAGGGGGCAACGCAGGGGACAAGGCGCAACAAGGGACAACGCAGGGGACGACTCAGGGGACGACGCAGGGGACGCAGAGGGAAAGACGCGGGACGACACAGGTGGTGACACACGGGGGAGGGTTCTGCTGCAGCCTTGTCCTGGCCCGCGCGTGGGCGGCCTTGGCCTCCTTCCAGATTGACCGGCCCCGCGCGCGGGCGGCCTTGGCCTTGGTTTTGGCCTTCCAGATCGACCGGCCCTGTTGGCACTCAAGGGTCTGGCCTTGTCCTGGCGCGCGCGCAGGCGGCCTTGGCCTTGGTTTTGGCCCTTCCAGATTGACCGGCCCTGTTGGGCACGCAAGGGTCTGGCCATTGTCCTGGCTCGCGCGGGCGGCCTTGGCCTTGGTTTTGGCCCTTTCAGATTGACCGGCCCTGATCACATCCCGACCCAAGTAGGGAGGGGGATGCAAGGCTCCGTGGCTGCATTTGCGTGCTCGCCGGGCACACTTTTTTAGCCTACCTAGGCCCTGTAATGCGTCAGTTCCAGGCCCAGGCTGGAGGCCGAACCCTCCAGCGGCAGCTTGCAAACGTTACCAAATTGCAATGCTGCTAGCTGCTCGGGCTCTGCCTAGCTCGGCAACGACCGCTCGGGCTCTGGTTCAGAGCACAGACCTTCCCAGGACGAGTGTTGTCGACCTTTTTGACGCAGACCCGCCACGGAGCAGTTTGTTCCATCTATATGAAGGGGCTCAGAGCTCAGACCTGCTCAGGCCGAGTTTGTTCCACCTCTGTGAAGGGGTATAAAGTAAGACCTGCCCAGGACGAGTTTGTAAGTAAGACCTGCCCAGGACGAGTTTGTTCCACCTTTTTCAAGCAGTCCGCCGCCAACGTGAAGGGGTCCGGAGCACAGACCTGCCCAGGACGAGTGTGTTCCACGCATGTGAAGGGTTTGCTGTGGAGGAGTTTGTTCCACCTAGAGGAAGGGGTCCAGCGAGCAGACCTGCTCGTTTCTGCTTTTTGAAGGGATCCAAAGCACAGCCCTGCCCAGGACAGTTTGTTCAGTTCAGACCTGCCACGAAGGAGTTGGTTCCACTTCTCCGAAGGGGTCCAGTGCACAGACCTGCCCAGGACGAGCATGTTCTACGTTTTTGAAGGGGTCCGGAGCTCGGGCCGGCCACGGAGGAGTTTGTTCCAACCTTTTTGAAAGGGTCCAGAGCTGACCTGCCGAGGACGAGTTTGTTCCACCAAAATGAAGGGGCCTAGAGCACAGACCTGTTCAGGACGAGTGTGTTGCGTGGAGGAGTTTGTTCCACCTTTCGGAAGGGGTCCAGAGCGCAGACCTGCCTAGAACGAATTTGTTCCACTATGAAGGGTTCAAAGCACAGACCTGCCCAGGACGAGATTGTTCACCTTCTGGAAGGGTCCGAAGGAGTTGGTGGAAACAGATCCGTCCAGGACGAGTGTGCTCTACCTGCTTGAAGGGGTCCGGTGCTGACACGTGCCACGGAGGAGTGTTCCACCTTTTTGAAGGGGTCCGGAGCTCAGACCGTTCCACCTATATGACAGGGTTTCAGAGCTCAGACCTGCCCAGGAGGATGTTCCACCATGAAGGAGTCTGGAGCTCAGACCGTTTCCACCTATATGAAGGGGTTCCAGAGCTCAGACCTGCCCAGGAGGATGTTCCACCTATATGAAGGAGTCCGGAGCTCAGACCGTTCCACCTATATGAAGGGGTTCCAGAGCTCAGACCTGCCCAGGAGAATGTTCCACCTATATGAAGGGGTCCGGAGCTCAGACCGTTCCACCTATATGAAGGGGTTCCAGAGCTCAGACCTGCCCAGGAGGATGTTCCACCTATATGAAGGAGTCCGGAGCTCAGACCGTTCCACCTTTCTAGGAGTTCCAGAGCTCAGACCTGTTCTATGAAGGGGGACGATGTTCCACCTATATGAAGGGGTCCGGCGCTCAGACCGTACCATCTATATGAAGGGGTTCCAGAGCTCAGGGAGGATGTTCCACCTATTTCCACCTATATGAACTCAGCCGTTCCACCTTGAAGGGGTTCCAGAGCTCAGACCTGCCCAGAAGGATGTTCCACCTGTATGAAGCGGTCCGGAGCTCAGACCGTTCCACTTATATGAAGGGGTCCGGAGCTCAGACCTGCCCAGGAGGATGTTCCACCTCACCTTTATGAAGGGGTTCCAGAGCTCAGACCTGCCCAGAGGATGTTCCACCTATATGAAGGGGTCCGGAGCTCAGACCTTTCCGCCCATATGAAGGGGTTGCAGAGCTCAGACCTGCCCAGGAGGATGTTCCACCTATATGAAGGAGTCCGGAGCTCAGGCCGTTCCACCTATATGAAGGGGTTCCAGAGCTCAGACCTGCCCAGGAGGATGTTCCACCTCACCTTTATGAAGGGGTTCCAGAGCTCAGACCTGCCCAGAGGATGTTCCACCTATATGAAGGGGTCCGGAGCTCAGACCTTTCCGCCCATATGAAGGGGTTGCAGAGCTCAGACCTGCCCAGGAGGATGTTCCACCTATATGAAGGAGTCCGGAGCTCAGGCCGTTCCACCTATATGAAGGGGTTCCAGAGCTCAGACCTGCCCAGGAGGATGTTCCACCTATATGAAGGAGTCCGGAGCAGACTTGGCCAGGACAAGATTGTTCCACCTCCCTGAAGTTGTCCGAAGGAGTTTATGGAACACCAAAATAAAGGGGTAATCCTATAACGGGAAACGGAAGGCTCCTTGGCTGCATTGACACATGATCACATCCCGACCCAACTAAATTAGGGAGGCAAGGCTTCTTGACCACACGCAGGTGCTTTTACACAGTTTACAAGTTCTGATTACATCCCAACAAACACCAAAAGGGGACGAGGGCAAGAGGGGACAGGGGGTCCTCAAGGGTGGCCTGTCTGGCGCGTGCTCGGGTCAACCGAGCGCACGAGACCTGTTGTGGGGCGGGGGGGGGGGGGGGAGGGCGAGACATTGAAAATGCAAGATGGCCTGCAGGAGCGCTGATGGCTGGAACGTGGTCATGCCGACGGCCAGCGTCGGGGGCTAAATTGCAGTGAGCCGCAGACGTGGATGCGTCCGTCTTGCGCACATGCGCAATCATTTCAGTGTTGCATTCAGCCGCCGCTGTTTGTAGGTGTGTGTTGTGAAGACACTTGTTGCGCAGAGGCTTCCGTGACATGTCGTGCCCCCCGCTCGTATCGTCAGAGCAAGAGCAGGGGCAGCCGCTCATCGACGCGGCAAAGGCGCTGCCCAGAAAGCACCCCATCGGAGACACGGACCCGAGTCCAGGTGAGCGAATTCTGCTGTTTCAAAAACGTGAGATCCTGCAGCAGGTTCTACGAAAGGAGAAAACGATGGAGGTGCGGCATCTAGCATGCACACCGGGCGGTGCTTGGCTGGGTGTCGATGGCTGGGTCCATGCGTGGGGTCGCTTCGGACAATCCTTCGTCGCAGGGAGCTTGGAGGAGTTCCGAGATTACCAAGGTGAACACGGCGTTGCCGTGGATGCGCTGCCGTACAGGCAAACGCATCTCTGGCCACTCATCGAACTGCGTCGTCTGCCAGAGCCGGTGCAGTTCAAGCGCATCCCAGGTCCAACGACGTGGGTTGGTTTTTGTCCTCCCGACGACGCAGTGGAATGCGGGGCTCAGCGTGGGGGACTGGTGAACGCAGGCAACAGCTGCTTCATCAATGCAGCCCTGCAGGCGCTCTACACCGTGACGCCTTGGCGACGCATGCTCAGGCGCTTAGACGGTGAGGTTGCCGTGGATCTCCTGGCTCTGTTGCATCGGCTGCAGTGCTCCTCCATAGTGAATCCTGAGACAATTTTACAGAAGTGGTATCACGGAGAGCAGGAGGATAGCCTCGAGTTTCTGCACGCCGTGAGCGAGCAGGCGGGGCTGACTGCGCAAACTGCAGGCGTGGAGCAATTTCAGCTTCGCTGCCAAGACTGTGGAGGGACGTTTGCGCAAGGGTCAGCAACGGCTATGTCAGAGATGCAAATGGAGCTGCCGGGCGGTGTCAGTGACATGCAAGGGGTAGTCGACAACTACTTTCGGTCCACGCTTGCCCCAGAGGATGTGAAGTACTGTGACCGAGCGTGGCAGTGTCCTTCTTGCGAATCCTGTCGCCTGCCGTTGAGACAGCTGAAAATTCGACAGCCTCCAACAGTCCTTGTTGCAGCCGTGAAGCGCTGGCGCACCGCGGTCAGTGACGGGCGCTTCATCCAACACAAAGACAAAACCCAGGTCAACTTTGCCGAGATCGTCCAGGTCCAGGGACACGTCTACCACGTAGTGGCCACGGTACATCACATAGGCGCAACGCCAAACGGGGGTCACTATTATGCTGTCGCTTACGACCCAGAAGGGCATCGGCGGGTCTTCAACGACACGACTGTCGCGGATGTTGTGGCTGACTCAGTGGCGGACTTGGCAGCGGGCGCCGCAAGCGGCGAGCTGTACTACATGTTGCTCCAGAAGGTCACGACAGATCTGCCAGAGCAGTCGGTGGCCACGCGTCTGGACGCCTCCACGGCAGCAGACACATCGCCGGAACATCTCGGAGGCACGATAGACAAGGAGGCCGCCGCAACACCGACATATCTGTCATGTGAGAAGGTGCAATCGCAAAGTCCTTCGTCAACAGGGCAGGCGCAGGGTGTCGACGAGGCTGCCGGGCTGGGTCGCCCACGTGGAGCTGCAAGCGTGGATGGCTTAGTGCCGCAGGCCGTCAGCCCTATGGAGTGTCTAAGAAGCGTTCCAGATGCAGGGTTCGAAGATGCGGAACGAGCCTTCGAGCAGGATGTAGTCGCCTTCATGAACTCCGTGTGCGAGCAGTCGGTAGCTGAAGCTCTGCGCGACACCCCCGCCTGTAGCACTTATGTGGCAAAGCTCACCTTTGAGCAGTGTCTCACGCGTCTGCAGGCCGGACTAAAGGCGGTTCGAGCAGAACACCTCACCGCCGCAGAAGAGGTCGATGTTTTCACGCCGCTGTGGTGGCTTACGGACTACCGGCTTGCAGTGTACATGGAAGCGTTCGCCCGCGTTGTGGCCCTGTCCTCGACAATGCTCTTGGAAACCTTCAAAGCTTTTGCGTCATCGCTGTTGCATCGGCAGTTGTGCGTGGAGTGGTCCGACTACACCCTGGCACATAGGTACTGGGCGCAGGTCGTGACGGACATCGGAACCGGCAAGTCGCCTGTCATGAAGACCGTGCGGGAGGCGTTCAAGCGAGCTGTTGCAGGGGGCCTACACATAACATGAAGAATGCCTGGGTGCCACGAGTGAGTAGTGTGACAGTGAGGGCCCGTATAGCGCGTTTAGTGCAGAGGAAAGTAGCTCAGCTGAGGCAGAAGAGAAGACAAGTCAATGGCTGGCGGGTCCTGTGGAGATGGAGCATCATCTCATTACTGAGTCCACACATGCAGCCTTCAATGCACGACTTCAACAAGGCGACGGGCACGCGTTACTTGTGGGTCCAGAAGGCTCGGCTTTCCTTTGTCCAGAGTATGCGAAGTCTGGGAAATTCACGAAGGAGACCCACATTGTATTAACGCGACTGCTGGAGGCTGCGCACGGGGGCCGGTACGACTGGGACACACAGGCAGACGTGTTGGCTAGGCCTGTCAAAGCACGCAAACTAGCGGGGCACGAGGAGAAGGTGGACTGCGGAGTGCACTTCGAGTCAACAAACATTGGCATGGTGCTACTGCAACAACCTTCTGTCTTGGTGGGCGCCGAGCGAAGCTCGCCACAAAATCGGGCTGGCTAACCGCAACTCGTCACGGACATGGCTTTCACAAGTAGCGGCCGTGCAAGTGAGTGATTTAGCGGTTCTTCAGAGTCGAGTTAGAGTCTAGGGCATTGCGCTGGCAACATAAGGCTGTGTGTTTTCTGCGGGTCGACGGGGCAGTCAGCTGACGTACCCTACGGGGCTACGGGACAAGTTCGTGGACTTCATGGCGGGTCTGTTTCAGAACCTCATCCAACACGTCGGCCACAAGGTGCCTCTACATGGAAGGGAGCTTGTGTGGAGTCAGAGCACGGCTGGGAAAGCCGCGCTGATGGAGGCCCGTGGGGCCATGCATGAGGCCTCGCAAAACGCCTACTATGCGGACGGCGGCACACTCAACAGCATGTTCGAGAAGCTTTCGTACTTCTGGACGCATGAAGGCCGGTCTGGAGCCTGTTAAAGCCGGGGGGGGGGGGGTGTGTGTGAACTGAGCAGAGGGTGTGCACGGCATGTCTTGCGCTGCTTGTAAGGTCTTTTGACAACTTTGTTCGAGGAAGCCATTGGGGCCATGGTGGAGCAGCGCCCCTTCGACATTGCGCAGCGGCAAATCTCGCCTCACGCCACCAAGCTAGCCTTGGAATGGACATACAGACGGCTTGCTCGCGGCTTTAATATGTTGGATGTGGACATCAGTCGCGGCAGCTGGAGAGTCAGAGAAGGGGCAGGCGTGCGAAAGTCTGTGGGGCCTTTCAAGGAGAGTGTTTCTTGGATGCAGGAGGTGCCTTGTCAGCATATTATGTGTGCAAAGACCTTGCAAGAGAAGAGCTTGCAGCAGGAGGGTGCCGTAAGGCTGCACAGCATGTCGTCAAGCCGAGGTGGCCGTGAAGCTTCTACGTGCGACGCCAGGCGCTGTGATCTATGCAGATGTTGCCGGACGCACAGTTCCACTGTTTCGCCACGTGTATTCCGATGATCCGCAGCAACGAGAAAGCTCGTACAACAATTTGCTGACAGCTTTCCAGCATCTGGAGCGTCACGGTCTTGGAGTTGTACGGCTGCGCCCCGGAGCGTGGCCCGCCTTTGTGAAGTACGGCTGGAGGACTTTGTCAAGTGGGGCGCAGGATGCCGTCCGCAAATGGGCCATCCCGTTGCACTTCTTCGAGGGGTTTCTGGAGGAGACCGCGGCGGCAATCTCTGTGCAGAAGCAGTCCCAAACATTGGTGCAGCAGACAGCGCGCAGGAAGCTGCAGACGTCGCACAGCGTGGCGGAGCCATTATTCAGCTCGACGGCAGGCAGAGCGGAGCAAGGCGAGGCGACCCCACCAGCAGAGGGGGAGCCGAGCAGTCGCCAGGTCGACAAGGCGCCGTCGGACGCAGTGGAGAAGGATACGTACAAGGAAGCTCGCGCGTGCCTTCTCGAGGAGATCCCGCGGACGTTGAGTGACGCCACTGCCGTGGCAAGGAAGGAGTGCCTGAAGGCAAAGCCCCCTTGCAATGTGGTTTTCAACACGAAGCGACTCGTCACTGGAAAAAACTGCGCGGAGTACAAGCTGTGGGGCTCATGCTCCGAGTGCAAGCCGAAATGCAGTTTGCGGGCGCGGGTGACCATCTGCATTGAAGGCCCCGCGGAGGGGAAAGCAGTGGTCCACTATCGTGGCCAACATGGGACAAAGGTCGTCGCGCAAGGTGGTCGGCTGCTACCGGCAGATGTGCAGAAGGTCGTGAACGAGGTTCTGGAATCCAAGGCCACCATCACAAGCAGGGGTCTCCGGGCAGCGCTGGAGCTTTCCAATCTAGAGTTCGCCTGTGAGCCTTTGCAGCTACACAACCTAGTTCGGCGTCTGCGGCAGAAGCAGGGGCAGACGTCAAGCGTTGCAGCAGTACCGATCGAATCATTTCTTGAGGAGGTGAGGAAATGGGAGGCGAACCTGCCCGACAAGATCGGCAGTGCAGAAGATCTGTCGCGTCTTTTGGTCCTGAAGTCGCCGAACGGTGTCGTGGTGGAGGCTGACAGGGTGTACGTGCCCATCACCTGCTCAGGCATGCTGCAACGCTTGTGTGATGCTGCAAACCACCGTCTTCGTCTCATAGTCGATATGAAGATGGGGGCGATTGCCAACAACTACGGCGTGATCACCGCGTGCTTTGCCACTAGCAGTGCGCGCCTTACAAACACCAGTTCCGGCATGTTGCGGGGGCGACGGCAGTCCTACGTGGCGCACACCTGCACAGCGCAGCCAGTCATGCAAGCCTTGGTTCACAGTGAGAAGGAAAAGAATGTGTGTGCCTGCTTCGAGGACTTGTGCTGGTTGTGTCAGGAAGTCGGCGGTTTCAACCTGAAGTCACAGCTGCTGCATGTGCACGCAGATTACGCGCCGGGAATCGCCGCAGCACGGCGGGCCGTCTTTCCAGGCGCCCGTTTGGTGGGAGATTACTTTCACTACAAGAAGTCGTTGCTGAAGACGCTTCCGGCCAAGTTGCCCAAACAGGAAGGCCCGAAGAAACGCGGCAGGCAGAAGCGCGATGCAACCGTGACAGAGGTGTCAGAGGTGTCAGACTTGACCAGGCGGGGCTTGGGTTGCAAAGGAGACAGAGCTAGACCTAACGAAGAACTGATGTGCTATAGCGGAGTATAGCCATACACGAATCGTGCAGAGTCTCCAACCATGCAGGTGCCTGCCAACGTTGCAGCTCGCGGATGCGATCTGGCAGGTGGTATTCGAGAACATGCCGGCAGAGGTAGCTTCGTACCTGCAGAGGGAGTTCTTCACGCAGTGCACGGTCGCCGACTTGCGCCATATCTACAAGACCGTGCAGGCCCCGGCGCGGGGAGCGCAGCGGCTCTGGCTGCCAAGCTTTTGGGTTGGAGTCTTCGGCACATGTCCCGGCGCTGGCGGGGGGACCAACCCACTCGAGGCGCGCCATGGATCATGGGAAGCTGAGCTGAAGTGTCGCACCAAGGATGGCCTTCTCTCGGCCATGCAAGGCATGCAGCACCT